TTTCTTTATGTGTCCGAGACTGTTGACCAGAATTCTTAACGGAAACTCATTTCCTTTGCTAATATGTTTCAACTGACATGAGAATGTGGCTTTGCGAGATGCCATCGGGAGAACAGTGGTCCAAATTTGTTACAACGTCCGCCATCTCAATCCTGTATTAACAGAACGCACCAAGCAATTCGTGATTTGCTTACTCTTAGTAAATACATTACACCAAATTCGACTACTGCAAATATTGCAGCTTAGTTCCACCAAAGGAGGACGCAATAGGGATTTGCGTATGCATTTTTTAAATGGAAACCAGACGGGTACCTCATCAACATACATTTTTTTACCTCCACTCTTCATGGTTCAACAGTAGCACAAAGTCTGAAGGCCTGGCATGGGACCGGAGGTAGTAAATGGCGAAGACAAAGCTCATTAAGGCATTCCATGTGGGTGCAAATCGTTAGGTCCACGAAAACCTAAGGCCTATAATATGGACTTCGGATCCCGCATATGTGAAGATATTGTGCTGGTTATGTTCTCTACCTTTGCAAGGAATGGTTTGTCCTACGATTTGAAAACCGTTGATCCACAATATTTTTGACAAGTGTTTCTGGCAGTTTACAGAGAAAAACCTAAACCGTGCACCCTAAATGTAGTGACAACATTATCGCCATCCTCTTCCGTGCCAACCGCAAGTTCTAATTCGACCAATTACAAAAACAACTGGCCTGTGTATTTGACTTAGTGTAAGAACTCTATTCACTCCATGTTTTTTTTGCGGTTAGGCAGTACAGACTGCTGAACTCCAAAAACATGTAAGCTACTTCATTAGTAAGGGGAGAATTTTATTCAGCTGCTTTCGTGTAGAGCTCGAAGGTGTTTGCTAGCCTTAGCGCATGCAGAGGGAGCTGAATTTTCAATTCTTCATCGGAAGCGGAAGAAACCGTGTATGTCCCCATATTTTGAGCACTCTTAATTGCTCATTTACCGAATGTATACTTTACAAATACCACCATAAATGTGATATTTTTATCAGCTGAAGTAGCTATGTACCTAATAAGACGCACAGGAAGTGCACCGCCTCTTGTTTCAAATCGTTTTTATGCGGGCAGTTTAGGTCATTTGAGTTCAATTTTACAATGTCAATAAGCAAAACAAGCCCGTCCGTAGCCTCAATATAAGTAAAAACGCAATAACAAAATCTTATTTTTGTAAACATCTTGTCCGACGAGGGAAAAAGTCCGACTAAACAAAGTCGCCATTTTTGATGTAAATGTCGATTCTTATGGTGAAACATCGTACGAACGGGTCTTATCTATGGTCATCAGCAACTTGTATGACGATTTTCTTTTAAAATTCTGCAACTGACAAGGGAAAAAGTGATAATGGATGTCTTGTTTTTGATTTTTATGCATTCTAAACACCTTTGTGCTGTAACGTTCACAGTTCGCATTCATATGCTGCTTTTAAATCATTAGACTGAAAGCATCATTTAAGTTCTTATCGACATCACTTTCTTTGGAGATTCCGCCTAACGAGCAAAAGTAAAATCCAGTATCCTGAATAATTCGTTGGATAACATCAGCTAGCTAGAATACTGAATATCCCAATATTACTCTGACTGCTAGATCGGAAATCCGCTTATAAATAACTGGGCCAAGGCTTTTATACATTCCACTGTCATTGAGTCCAGATTAATTTGACCTGGGCAACTCGTCACGTAAGGTTTTGTTGTAATTGAAACGAAGATATAGGCAGTTTCTTTTATTTTGTGAACTGTAATTCCCGGTAAAATGGCTTGCAGTCTGTTATGAAAGATATTTGTTGTAGCCTACGAGTTATTTGATGCCGCAAATTGGGTCGCTTATTTGGTTTCGACTTTCTATTGCAAAAAAGGTTTAATGAATATCTGAGGTTGTCGTTTTCCCTTTTATGAAAAGACAAGAGAGCAGCCTGGATAACGAAAAACGAAGTATGCCCTTTATGATTCCGTCGTGCGCATGGTTTTTCGAAAGACAAAAGCAGAGATTCAGACACCTGTTGCGGACATTTTCCAAAACGGACGCAGCTGCAAAGTTTTTCAAATTCGTCTGCATACCCTGTGAAAAGACATCTTGATTTCTTAGATATTGCAACGAACAGTTCTTTGGAAGAAAATACGCAAATAAATAGAGGTCACTCTATTTGCCCAATTAATTACGTCCGAGTTCGGTATGACATTGACAAACCCAGAGGATCCTCACAGAGGTAAGAAGTTTATTGTTTTTACTCTCCTAAAGAACAGAGAAGCCTCTGATCTTCGAGCGCATAGAAGGACCCAGCAGTCTCCCGCAACTGTATTTTGTCATTTTTTAAACAGACTTGACAGAATCCAGGTCAAATTCTGCCGGGAACGAAAAGGCTATCATTAGCGGTAATGACGAGAAGAATGTTCTCAAAGTTCTGAATTCGCAAAATGATACCTCTGGAATTATGCAACAACTAGTAGAATTGGCTGCGTGTGAACAACAAGTCTTCAATACTTGGACCAGCGAACTGATCCGAAGGGTAAGCAACTGATTTTATATTTGTGTGCAAATACAAACGCCCACGTTAGAGTACTCGTCGAAAAGTTTATTTGAGGTACTTTTTGATATTGTCATAAGGAACGAATTGGTATCAGAGGCCAAATTTGTGCCTGCTAGCAATCGTGGACGTGTAACTAGCATAAGCTCAGAAGTTCAGCAAGTAAATTAAGTCTGCCCTTAATTACCATTGTGCACTTTTGTGTGTCGCTTGAAGCAGCATGTACATTAGACAAAAGTAATAAAGAACTGGCTATCACAAATTCTGTTTTATTACCCATTTATCACTTGAAAAAACGATGAAGAAGATCTTCGGAACTAAATTCAGTTGACGAAAATCCCGATTTTTCCAGCCGAAAGTTTCCGAATCGTTATTTTTACTTGCATTGACTTGGTTAATCAACCAATCTTAATATGTAGAGTGTTGAGAGAAAAGTATATCCCAATGGCCGACTCGGAGGATCGGTTGGTACCCAGGAGAGGAAAGGTAAAGCAAAATAGACCCGCAGGGCATATTCTTCACCAGAAACAAGCCAACAGACTTGAAAATATAACGATGCTCGAATTTATCACAGTGCGCTGAAAGCCGTGGCTTGGAAGGCTGCCGACCGGTGCGGTAACTCGATTCTCCTCCCAGAACGGAGAGTTAAGCTGTAATGACTCTTTCGAATGCGACCTCTATGTTACCCTCACGCATATGAGACCCGAATTGCCCCCCATTCCTGTTGTGTAAGATGTTGGCCGGTAAACTTCATGGACCATGGACTGTGGTGGCACGCCTGGGCGCGGGCTCGCGCCATGCCATCCACCTGCTGCCGGTCCTGCCTACGGTCTTTCTGACTCTGTCTTGACACTGTGCCAGATGGAATATGATAAGAGAGTGCGCTAGATGTTGCGCAAGTCTACTAGCAATACAAGCTAACTCACGCGCAAATCGCCGTCCCAGCGCGCACCCCGCTGTGGAACGCGGGGTGGACATTGTCGGAAGCGACGGTCAAACTGTAATTTTCTAACAGTTTTATGCGAGTCCCAATGCTGATCATTTGACGCGAAGAAGGCTACAATGGCTTTGTGGCACTCTCCACGTAGAAGAATATTTTACACGGTTTTCCAACCTTTACATTATAAACCAATTAAAGACGGAACGTCCTTGCTGAGAAAGCTGACTTTTGTAGAATTTTACTTATTGTTTTCTGTTCCATATTTTTTCGTTGTTTGAAAGAAAAAGGGAGCGATTTGCGGTAATACACAGAACTGACGTGTTATTTAGCAAATATTTTGGCAAATCCAACATTTTGCGTTGTCTTATGGACTACAATCGTCATCATCGTTGTCATCCCCGTCACTTTAAAGTTTATATTTGCAGCATAGTTTTAGTTGGAAAAATCGCCAAAAGTACTCATTATTAAAAACTAGTATTGGTTGTGCTGATAATTTTTTAGAATGACCATTTCTGGCTTACTTGCCTTGATGAACACCTTAAAAACGATTTTCTATATTTTCCCCCATTTGATGGTTTTCTCTCTCAACAGTGTAAGTTGCTACAGAAGTTACGACATAAAACATTTTAATGACTTGAGTTTTCTACGGAAGCAGGTCTGAGATACAACTGTCATCGCGCAGCCGCGTGAGCTTTATTGCGAAAGCAAGCTAAGTTCTAGTAAGGCAGTCATGTTTCCACTCGGCATGAATGGGTGATTTCATGGAAGACTGACGAAGCCAGCATGCTTGTCGCGTGAGGTTTTAAATAACGAAACGTCGTGAAAGCAGAAGTCCTCGTTTGTCGGCCTGGCGCGTTTAAAGAACACTGATTCCTCCCATTGAAATTGACCTTCTACATTGTCGAGAATATGACACGAGAATAGTAACCCCTCGGCAATGTAAGTGGCCCTGCACAAAATCCCAGGAGGCTCAAATATTCCCGTGTCCTGATCCTAACCCTAGGATTAACCTTGTTCCAAGCCCTCATCCTAACCCTAAACTTAACTCCGACTTAGCGTTAACCCTGACCCCAACCTTAGCCCCAACCAAAGTCGTCCTAGAAATTGGCGGAAGGCCCCAGGATAGGGGGTAGGGTTCCTATTCCCGCCTCTTGCTTTTTCGAGTCTTATGCCATCCACCTCTAGCACGTTTGGTTGGCAAGCACTCAGCGACGAAGTAGACGAACAGCCGAGATCGGATGCATCCGAATTATTTCCAAGCATTGACGGGGTTTGTGAAATTTACAACAAGTAATACTTCATTTAGACACTAAGAAGATCAAGAAACATATAAACAAAGCTTTCAATAATTTCTCTGCCCACCATTGATGGTCAAAGTTAATGGGACAAATAATGATTCTGTACGCTTTTTCGGCTTCAGGAGACGGTCGAGTGTTACGACCGAGGACTGCTGCTAGCGCAGTTGAGGGAAACGTACAGTCAAGCTCTTAAATCCGCTCCATTTAAGATGCTCAAGTAAGGCGTGTATTCCGTCTCTTCTCATTCCTTTGCAAGCCTCCACCAAGAATCCACTGCCCAAAAAATACTGACCAAAAACTTGCGTGAAGAGGAGAGGATTTTACGCATCCGTGTAGCTGAATGCACAGGGTGAGTAAAAGAGCTTTCGTGATAATTGTACATTTGTAGTGATTTAAAGAAAAACGCGACCTTTTTGGACATTCAACCAGGTCTATTAGTTAGATCCAGCGTTTGTCATAATATTTATCACTTTAAAATGGCCCCATGCAGGCGTTGGAGACGGCCGTTACAATGGAAACACAAAAATCAACAGTGGATACACACCAGACGTTACTAAATTTCGCATGCGAAGAGGGGGATCAGTATCTGAAAGCCAAGGTATTGGAGAACCATATTTACCACAGGGTATTGGAGAGGCTCTTGATGAAGGTAAGACGTACCGCTTTAGAAAGTCACATAGTAAATTCATAGAAGTATTTATTTGAGGCAATCCTTCAGTTGGCACGATTACGCCAGCAAAATGACAAACGTACATAACTCAATGTTGCCAAAGTATGAGCTAAACTTAGAGTAAAGTGCGATTGTGAATATTAATAAGAAGGGAGAAGGACGAAGATAGAAAAGCCTTGTTGCGCGCGATATCAGATGAAGAATAAACACGTTAATTTGAGAATATGACTTTGGTATGCGTGAAATCGTCTATTTGGTCAGCGCTGGTGAGATGGATAGAACACATTAGAAGAATTTCCCTAAAGATAATTTCACTGACAGAAGAAAAATCCGCCTAATTAGAACTCCCACAATTTGCTATGGATTGCATTTCATCTGGCTTTTCATTTGTTGACTTTCCCTGTTTCTGCCTTTCGGGCTGTCTTCCAAAATTTCAGTGTGGATTGATAACCACAGCGCTTGACGTAATAGAAAGCTGCAGTGCCACCTTACACGTCAATTAGCCTGGGTCACTGGCCGGGTCATTAGTATCCGATTTAACCGTGCAGCGCCCACTCCTGGGGACCATTTCCTTTCAAGGGGTCGGACGTTAGTCGCTCATGCTGCCTTCAAGTCTTGGCGATGGGCAGTAGTGTTGTGGCTGCGCAGTGATTCTTGATTTCAACTTGTGGTCTGGCCAAACTAGAGGATGGTAACTGAGATCCTAGTTATAAGTCTTTTGATTGATTGTTTGCCGCCATGTCACCGCCCGCATGGGCTCTAGACCGCAGGTCAAAGATCAAACCAGACTGACACGCACACTATTTGACAATCAGCACAGGTTGCTGAACATGAGTTTCATGCAACTTCGAGCATTTGGGACCGTAGCCGGCAAGGCACCAAACCGTGGCTCGGCAGTATGCTATTTTGCTTAACACTCAGTAGCCACAAGGCCTGAATTCATAGTCACCATAAAAGTCTTAACAAAAAACAGGTTCACGTCTGGTAGGGTACATGCCTAACTTGCAAGTTTTCTTAGTCTTTCTTGACATCGGCCTATATTAGAAGATGGAAAATTGGTCTTTGCAGCAGTATAGAGAAGATGAGATCGACCATCAACAAAACAGTTATCCCGCTAGAGATAACGCTTATTATGAAATAACAAAATTCCCCCTGAAAAGCGTGGTCGCTATGATTCAACAAAGATGAAAACAACGCAGATTTTGCAGTTGTTCGGTTGTAGAGTTACCGAGATGAATTGCGTTCCACCTAAGAAGCACGGGCATAGCCGAATGGCGGCTTAATTAATTAAGACGAATAAACAATGGAGAAAGTTTGGCAGCCTTTGGTCGAATACTGACTTCCCGCGTCAGCTCAGGGCATTGTCAGTGGGTTGATGGAGAGTGCGGAAATAGTGATTCAAGTTTCGAAGCACACCCTAAGTTCCATTGTAATTTTTTGTCCTCAATGAAGACTGACGATGCAAAATAGTTAAACTGACAGTTTCAGATCTCTGCGTACAGCCTTAATAACTACTTATTTTTAGAGGACAGCGTAGAAAACTAGAGGTTGATGTTAGGTTCGATAAAGGACTCTCGATGTTTGTGTGGTGAGAGGGGAAGGGGGGGAAATTTTGACGTGGACAATCTCAGCCAATGTTTGCTTCACACGTTCCCGCGTGGTTTTCACTGAATTTAGTGCATACACCTAAGTAGAGAATATTACCGCTGTCCGCAGTAAAATTAAGTCGATGTGAAAAGCACTTCAGTGGCAACAGGATTTTAATTCCACAAATAGATTCGTTAGGAGTGTACTAAAAATAAAAGCATCGTTTACTTTTGTCTCGTGCCTGGTGCGTTTTGCAGCAGTCGTGGGACAAAGACTTTTCCCAAACTTCGATTATTGTGAACCTAGTTATCCAACCGGATTCGATTGAAGGCTAGTAGTATTTGCTTGATGCAAGGAACAAAATTGCGCTATCAGGTCCCTTATAACGATCCAACGTCGCTGTTTTCACTCAGTATTGACCAATATAAATTTTCTCACGTGGAATCCTGTTCGTCTTGATCAAAGATTCTAAATAAACCTACATATCAAGTCCCAGCCCTCTACTATCCACACAGAACTAGACTAAAAACTAAATACAGCAATTCTGAAAGCACTACTGACAAAGGTAAGGGAGACCGGCGTGTTGATTCCTGGCTTATTAGTCTTCGTCAGCCAGTCCTACCCAAACTCGGGTTTGCATGACCTAAGTCTCGAAACAACGTTTTTTGGTCATCGAGCGGCATTAGGTTTGACCTTCTACCGCTAAGCTGCGGGCCCGTTGTCATGTTGGTTATTTATCTTGTATGTTAGGTTACGGGCTATGCACGTCTCGCTGTGCCCCCTGGCTCACTCTAGAGTCCTTGCAGACAGTCGCATAGCGAGCAGCAATATAGGCTGATCAGAAGTCTTCTTCTGGTTAGCGAGGCACAAATAAAATCGGATGGGCCTCCGTCGGTGTTTTCCCTTCCGGCTTTGCTGGACTACTACGGTTACTGGTCGTTCTCGCACTCAGTGTTCTAGCACATACATATGAACACCCTGCCGTAACAGCTCATTCTTTCGCCCTGGTAATTCCAACAGATTCACTATTAAGATTATCGACAAAGACAAGGGAGACTAGAATGGCCATTTCTGGCTTATCGGCCGTAATCAGCTGGTCATACCCAACGCTCATGTTCGAAAAATCTGAGATTCGGATCCGTTATCTTTCGCCCCTGAGTCGAGCGCTCTACCAAGTGAGCCGCGGGCTCATTGTCCTATCGATTGCGATTACGAATACTAACTACTTCTGAACTGTGTTACGAAACATTCTCGTCCCGTTATGCTTTGGGTACCTATAAATAGTCCTGCAGGCATTTAGGCGACGATAGAAATGTCAATTTGTCTATACTACTAGTCGTTCTGCGACTGCCTAGTGGGCTCTAAATAAGGGCGCCAAAGCACAATGGGACGAGCATGTGGCGTAGCCGTATCGGTAGATTCATTTTCAGTATATGTAGATTCATTACCGTATATTTCGATGCAAAGATATGCTAATGTTGTATAGACTGGCGAAAAAAACATGCGAGTAGGTGGTGGTGAAAAGGCCCTTGATGACAGACTATTCTCGGCTTCGAAAGACACTAAATGGACAGAGTTTGAGTTTCATTCGTGAGGCTTCTGAATCCATGTCGTTCGACTACGAGGCGCAAAGTGAAACAACTCACTTACCTTCAGGCAGGCTGAAACAAAGTAATGTCTTCTGCACTGAAAACCTTCTAAGTCGAGTCCTCCGCACTCCTTTGTCCGCATTCAGGCATTAACGCATGTCCCGATGCGATGAACAAGCTATGCCTAGTAAGCAACATCTGCTTAAACTCGACTTCGATGCCCATCGATAACACTGGTCTTACCGTTCCCGAATATATTCATAACAGGCATAAGATTCTGGCAAACCTCTGATATAGGAATAGGAGATGCCGACTTGACGCAATGACAGAATGACACTGTATCGAATAATAAGAGTGCGTCGGTTCCAGCTTCCAGCTCTCAGACAAACAGAGAAGACAATTGAATGACAGCTAACGAACCATCTTGAAAGTCATATCAAGCAGCTATTGGCCTTTGGTCTTTTCCTCTGTCCCATAATATTATTTAGATTGCACAAAATAACAGCCATAAGCTACTTATTCATGTTATTCCATGCAAAATTTCATATTCCGCCGACTTATGATTTGTTGAGACTTTGACGAATAAATTCACAAATGTGCGTGCAAGTTCTATTTCCGCAAGTTTTCCCAGCCCGCCCGTGATATCAAAGATATGCTCAAGATCAGATAGGGGCACGGCGCGCGTTATTAGGCTGCGCACCCACAACAAATGCCGTAAGGGGGGTTGTGGTGTGACACCTTTTCACGCCGTGCCTGCCACCTGTGCCCTATCCCGCCTCCGGCCTTCTTGACGCCGGGTCATGTGGGAGAGGAGGGGCGATCGCGGTAGATACCGCGCAAGTCCACTATTACTATAAAATAACTCATGCGCAAATCACCGTCTCTGTGCCTATCGTGCTGTGGGGCACGCTAGGGACACCGTCGGAAACAACGGTCGGACCTTAGAAAATGCAAAGCATGGTTCTTAAGAACATGGAGGAATCGGAAACAGTAACGAGAGGCTATGTAAAGGGTGCCGATCAGAATCCTTAATAGCATGAGTAAGCGCAAGTTGCATGTTGTATCTACCGGACCAATTAATCGTTTTTTAAATGATTATTCTGCTTTCTTATAAGAAGTCTGCAAGAAACTGATGCACGATGATTCGTCTTCATGGAAATACCTCGTCACTGGCAAGGTATGATAGAATTGATGTCAGAAATATATGATGTAAGGATAACATCTCCTTTTTAGTGGCTGTGTCGTTCATGCCCAACAGTGCTCTACATGAAAATCGCGCTTCTGTGTTGGTTTATTGGAGAGTAAGGCGTCGGTTTACGTATCACGAACAAGCTTTAGTCGTAGCTACCTATTTCCTCATCTGTGTAAATATTTCAGTCTGTTTCATGGGTAAAATAGCCAGTCGTAAGTTCAGCCTGAACGTCATTGGCTTTTAAAACAGTATGCAATGTGGTCTTGCTTGTCAGGCACGCTTCCTGAAGTAAATTACTTTCGATCGACAAAGGGATTTTTCAATTCGGCAACCTCTTATTTTTGCCTTTTCTTTCTCATCTATCATTTGGTCTTTTTTGCCAGTTTTACAATGAACCGGAAGGCCCCTATGATAATCTCCACTCACAGCTTTCCAAGGCCATTCTGAAAAACTTTCGAGATTGGCGACGATGGATATCTTATGCTCTTTCAGTACTTAAAACCTTTGACGAGTATGGACTTAATCGAGTGCAGAGAGACTATGGTTGTATTTGGCGTACACAGGCCTTGGAGTTAAGTGCCAATCTCATAGAACGCAAGATGACGGCTGAACGGTGTATCCACGAGGCTTTAATTAACCTTCGTTCAGCCTTTGACAATTCATGTTCGACAACGAAGGACAATAATGGCGAGGGAAGGCCAAAGAGGTTGGTTCACATATTGGACTACAATGTCTGCCAAAAGTGGCATTGAAAAAGCCACAGTATAAACATCAAACAATTCGGGTAATCTTAACCAGAAATGCCGACATAAGCCTCAGGTGCATTACCACGGAGGATGCAAAAATTTAATACATTAATTATTTAATTCGATGACAAAAAACAATTCAACCCGTACATGCGTTTTCTCGGAAAAATTAAGTCACTGACTTTTACAGGAAGGGCAGAGAGCCAAAGACAACAAGCGACTGGTATTACCGACAAAGACAAGGGAGACCGACATGACCATTTTTGGCTTATTAGCCGTCGTCAGCCAGTCATACCCAACCCCGGAGTGTTGAACGCCTGGGGCGCGATCTCGCGACCTGTTAGTTGCCCAACGTCTTTAACCACTGAGCCACGGACTCGTTGTCCTGTCAGTTTTTTTTCCAGTTACGAATAAACATTGAAACTGTCAGAGTAAACGATCGTGTCAAATTCGGTCCTCATCTTTGAAGAAAAAGGTTCCTTCAGCTGATAGAGAGAATTCAGGCTTCTTTGAAAGACAGAGAGAGAGATGAAGGTTAAATCTAGTTTTGCCGAATTCCCTTTATATTCACACTGAAGCACACCGTTGAGTTATCGATGTCATTCGACCAATTTAGCCGAATAGGATCTTCATTTATAAGCGTCTCTAGCGCATACGCATATTCAGTATAACATTTGAAGGCGACTGTTAAAGGAATTTTGAACTTCATTCTTAAAGAGATCACAGAACAGTCAAGCAGCAGCCCTATTCCATAGTCGAGAGTCCGTGCACATTGCAAGGTCCAAAAGCGCCTGTGATCTAAAAATCTAACAAGAGCAATAAAAAGACAATAAATAGCAAACAGATTGCGGTTTTTTAAAATAGTGATTAGAAAAAGATGGAAGACGATTCCTGTGTTCAAAGCCAAGCGTACTCACAAACCTCAATATCCATACAAGCATGAAGGTCGAAACCGGAAGCCTACCAATACAGTACCACCCTTTTGCCTCAAAATACAGAACAATTTACAAATCAGTGATAATAAAAGTTTGTAGCAGCAGTTAATGACCCGTTGAATAGGTTCATTACCCTCGTCTTCAGTAGGACGGACGGGTTTCACCGAATAACTATTAACGTATACTTTCGAATACTAACGTTCCATTGTCTTTCGTTTTGAAGCGAGTCTGCCGAAGCAGAACCAGGAGAGGATCCCTCTATGAATTTACGGAATTCCATACAGGTAGGATTTACTCGAGGCTCACCTGCAGCCTTCTTCGAAACAAGGAGTCTCAGTTTCTTAAACCTCTAGCATACAGAATATTAAAAAATCAAAAATTCTTGCTTTTAATGCTGCTCAAAATAAAGTAGTGGTCATAGTGGATAAACGTTAAAAAACACTTTATTTGCGGTGCAAAAAGCGCTGCCTATGAAGATTTTCGATTTGTACGTTGTCACGACTAAAATCGAAATTTTGGTCCACATATAATAGACAAGGTTTTTTCTCCCGTTTCGTCCTTCAGCTAGGTTTTCACTTTCATTCGGTCCTTGTACTTAGTAAATTAAAGATGAATATCAGAGTAACCGTTCGTTCTGAGCCTGGATTTGAGGCATTTTTGACTAGTTCAGTAGTTCTTGCGGCTGACCATTGCGCATTCACAAGGCTAAACGACGTAGGATTAAACAACACAATATCAGTTTAGCTACAGCAACGGATTGGAACCTTAGAGGTCATGCATGCTTGGTCGCATTTTAGCATTCAGTAGTTGGAGTCTACGTGTACGCCCGCAGATGTCATATCGCTTACGTAATTCATGTGACGCAGGACACGACTCTCATGAGCAACTAGAGTATTTAAAAGATGACCATTTCCTGGCTGTTAGGATTTTTTAAACACACAGCAGCAGAACGTAACACTTTTAATGTGAATAGTTACCATACTGACAGTAGAGGTAATAGTCAAAAGCAAACTAGATAGTACTTGTGTTGTCAGTGTAGTAAATAATGGCATAATTGTGTACTACTGACCGTCTACTAGCGACTTGGGAATATTACATGGTTATTCCGCCGTAGCTGATGGATTTCAGACCAAATACCTATATCGCCTCCCAACCTAGCTTGAAAAGATCTTTTCCGGAGAATATACTTCAAGTTTACGCATTAGTTTTCTCGGAAAGTAAACACGATAGGCTGAAAATTTAATCACTTTACAATGCCAAACCCGCTGGCTTTGAATGAGCACGATATAAATGATTCTTAAGTATCGTCTGTGTTTTATCTTAGCCTCGGATAATTTAGTCTGACTAAACATAGACACCACAAGAAGCAGTGGTGTTTTTATCACCTGTGACGTTTCAGAAAGTGGTACATAATCGTTCGTTCGTATTTCACTGCAAATATCCTTATTTTAAGACTTTCTAGGCTTTCTTTCTTGTCAGGTGTGGTAGGTTAGGAAATCGGCATTGTTTTCTCTAATGATTGTCTCAGGCTTTTTGCAAACAGTTAACCTTTTGCATACTGCTTCTATCAGCATCGATGATTTTAGAACATTGAATATCTTCTGGAACTCTTTGGCGGCGAGGAAGTGCTCAACTTACAAGCAAAAATCAAAGACGTGCGAAACAATACCCATAGCTGGGTAGACATAATAATCGAAATTTTCTTCAACCATATGGATACTCAAGACGGAAAACCGCACCCTGAACACAGGGTTTTCTTACGCCTAATTCAGGTACTTAATTCTGTCCTTTAACTTTTCCCTATGACTTTTCAATCGGTTCCAAGACTTTGAAAGATAGAGTACGCTGTAAAATATAAACAGGTCAAAAGTGCAAAAGCTGCTAGGTCAGAAGGCTCATCGAAGCGGGGTTAGTTGATTGCAGAAAACTCGGAGTTCATACACATGTCACCATCTTGCCCAGATTAACTTTAAGAAAATAAATATTTCAAAAGAATAGACTTCTATATCATGGGGAAAGTCCAGTTTGGCGGATTGACGAACGCGCAGAGGGGATTATTGCTTGTAAGAAGAAATTTTGCAGTAACTACCTTGTAGGGCCTGGAAACGGGGCCTTTTACTAATTTCCCGGAAGGTTGCCTATTCCCATCTCCAAACCTAAACCTCAACCCCGACGCTAATCTCCTTGGAACTCAACGCAGGTCCGCCTGTAGTAACAGAGGGCGGCGTTGCTAATTTGTGTCCTGCTCGTCATTTTCGGCAAAATTTCACAAAACATGATGTAGTAAAGGGATTAAATACTCAAGTAAAGTACACGCACAATCGATCTTTTATGGCGCTGGCGAATCCTAATTGGACGTCAGCCTGCAGCATGCAGTCGTTGAAACCGTGGAGGTCTCACAAAGAACTTTGCACTGGGTTTGTTATCCTCTGAAACATTGTAGACACTTTGGGCAGTCTTGTGGTTTTTACACCATATGTTCAAATGATCAGTTGTTAAAACCACTCTTTAGGTACTGGAGGAAAGTCTGAATGAGGAGAGTACTACCCTTCTAGGCGACAACGGCGTCGCCAACTGCTGCACAAACGTAAACAAGAACCTTCATCTGATCGTTACCAATCTTATCCCCATTCGTCACCCCTGTCCTACTAAATCTGTTGCACCTGAGACTGACGTTGAGGCATCGCGCAATCTGTTGGAGCGACTGAAGTTGAAAGCTAAATCATGTATTCAGGATTTGGTGTCCGCGCTAAACCTGATCGAGGCATCTATGAGAGACGTGGATTTTTCTGAGTACCTGCACTTCCACCTGCCCAGGGAAGAGACTACAAGAGATAAAAGTGCTCCCTGGATAGATGACAGTAAAAGACAGAAGCCGGCTAATGGGTAAGTGCTCCTGGAGCCAAGCTGGTAGCAGGAAGCAGCATTGATTCACTATTTATCTTGTGGGAACACTCTGATTTTGGTCGGCATCTTCGGTCGTAAAAAGCATTAATAACATTATTACATAAATTTGCTGACGCTTTTTCGTTATCGCAACGCCAAACACGAATTTATCCTTGCTGGATGACATGAAATATAATATTTATGTCTAAATAACCTGATTGCAGGCGGACGGCATGTTCACAGACCAAAACTCTAAAATTGCGACAAACATTTCGCGTAAGATTGAGGTGTATTACTGAAAACACCGGCCAGTAGGACAGTTGAATAAGAGAAGACTGAGATTAGTACCAAGGTCGATTTGCACAGATAACACATTACATGTAACTCTATCCGTGCTAAATACTGTATTGCGTACAATGGTTGTTAATATGAAAACCTACCGTTTGTGAATCACCATGCTAGGTCGATTTTAGGTCAAAACGAGGACTATTTCAGCCTGCTACGCTTAAAAAAAACTCGTTAAACATTAGCACCTTTATGTTATTTATTGTTGCTTGGGAATGCTCACCAATGTAAACATTGCTCTGCTCACATTTGGCGGCCTAAGTAAGTGTGACTGACGGACGTTTCATTCTCAAAAGAATCATGTTTACAAGTCAATTCAAATAGACTACGAATCTGGATAGCTCATCTACCGTGTATGACGATGCATCAAAAGAAAGTCCATATTCGCATTTAGAGAAATCCGAGGCATTTGAGAATTTAGTGACGAAGGTCTCAGTAGTGGTGACAAACTGAAATCGAGCCTGTGCATTGACATGTTATTCAAGTAAAAATATGTGAGGGAAAAATGAAACAGTCGGTCTCTACGAACGAATATGCCTACGTCTTTTTTCTAGGTGACAATCAAGTTTTATGCCGGATGTAATCCATTTTGAAATCGCAGTTGAAAATGATTAAATATGAAGTACTTGCTTAGGTGACTGTGCTGGCCTTTACTTCGGAGGAGTTTGGTGTTTCTCGTACGTTACAATATAGGGATTGAACAACAATGTTTTACAGTTTAATTATTTATTCCATGATATTTCACGAAACGGTTAAAATAAATCAAGATGAGAAATGTTGTTGCGTCTGCAATCGACGTTTGCCAAATGTCGCTCTATATTGGTCACGTCTGACCTAATAGCCGTTTGTAGCTAGTCATTCACTAAACTCAAGTACGAAGACCTGAGTGTGGAACGAGGATAAGATCATTCTCTAGAGTAGATACGGGTTTATTCTGAGATGCCGTAAAAAAATTTAGTTGTCTTGGAATTAGTGCTTAATGATTTGCCCTGAAGTCCTAATAAGGAGCCAGGATGACGCTCAGTCAGTAATAGCATAAAAGTGTTCGCACGCCTAATGGCAGCATTCGCAGAACAGGCCGTCCATCTGAGTGCTCCCAGTGCGGTCCCCATCGAAGACTTAGTTCGCACGTGAAAAAGTGAAATGGAAGCAAGATGATGCGTTATCTGACCGAATATTTCGGGACGAAGTTGCAGAAAGGAATGCAGAAAACTGTGAAAGTTGTGGCCTATTACAATAAGAACTCTCAGTGTGTGATTCTCCTGCTCACTATTACAACGACTACGAAGTTGGCAGCCTTAGCAGTTGTTCAACTTTTTATGAATATTTTACAACCAGTAATGGATGCAAACATTGCCGACTTTTCTATTTCAATGCGGTCAGCTATTCCTTATCCTATCTCCGAGTGGATTTACAATCTCGATAGCGCGCATCCAGGCCCTAGACCATGCAGCAAAATTTTGCATATGAACTGACTATTCTGCGGCATACGTACTTGTCATGCCCGGCTATAGTCAAACCATACCTTCTTTTAGTCGTTATACAGAGGAAAAATACCAAAAAATATTTCGAGAAAACTTACCAGTTATTAAAAACGGCAACCCAATATGTTTTATTTGACCGCGGCAAGAGCAGGTTCGGAGATTTTCATCCTGGATAGGTTTCCAGGTGAAAATTCACTCCCTGAACATTCGTTACCTACAGTATTACAGCTTCTGTTATAGAGAGGATTACACTGAAGAAAAAATACTGACATTTTGATCTAAAAGATGAAAACTAGTCTACTAGCTTTAAATGTGCTTAGAATGGATTTAGGCTATTTGCAGGGCATCGAAAAGTTTGTTCCCTACGAACCTACATTTTCATTATAGAACGCACACAAAATTCCGCTCCGACCAAAAAATAAACTTACAAAATGCACTCCTCATACTTGACAATTGGATGGCTACACTGCCGCAGGCGATTCACACCGAATTTCAAATGCTGGAAGGGGAAATGGACCAACTTTTCGCAAAGAACATGCACGCTCTGTGCGCTTTTGATGCCAGTCGTGTTCCTCAGACGACTGTAGGCGTCAAAAGTGCCTTACCAGAACGCCCGTTGAGCTCTCTTGATTCAAATAATTCGGAACCCGAAACCCCGGAGGCAGTTAAAGGGTTAGACGAAAAATTCACGCGTCTGGAGTCCCGTGTCAGAAAATATACCTCCGACGTGATCAGGTTAGACATTTTAACTGTTATTATAAAAAAAGGAAAGCCATGTCAGGCCTTTGGCTCCTGAACGTGTGTAATATGTGAAGAAAGCTCTGAACTATTCTAAACAAACGTAGTTCGTTTCTTTCGTGGATGATTTCAAAATTGTTTTCAGCAACACGATTTTAATTCTGATGCTTCTGTGAGCACCGAGTAATATGATCGTCATGCTTTGACATAAAGTGTTCAGATATCGAAAAATTTGCGAATGGCACAGATTCACATTTGGTCCAATGAAAAGGATAACGACGTGGATAATTAGGTTGACCAACATATGTATATGCTCCAGCTATAAAACAATGTGCAGGGCTGAATCTGTCATCAGAATGAGAGCGCGGTTCTGCAGATAATTGAAAAGCTTTTTATAATTTTCATTCACCAAGACTTACCATTAAAATAAACTTGTATAAAATGACTGACAGCTGGCATTGGTTTGCCACCACAGCACAAACGCGCGTGGAAACTGTTTACTGGCCCGAGCTAGAAACAACAGTATACTTACATTATTTAACTTGCCATATATTAGAGTCACTGATTGCGCTTGACTTGTAGGCTACGAATTTGAATGAAACGAAAATGCATTTTTGAAAAAAGTCTATGAAATTGAACATTCGCTTCTATGTTTGTTCTGTACTATTAAATAGCGGAATTTCGTTGCAAGGGGCTGCAGAGCTCAGAAGCATGAATTAGATTGAAGTATCAATATAGTCATGTGAGGTTTGGTAGAAAAACGTTATTTTAAACAAGTCAAATGCATGTGTCATTTTTGCGTAAAAGGTTTTGGAAGGGGATGAAATAAAAGGAAATGCCGTTTACTGATCCAAAATTTTAGACGGTTTCTGGGTATATTTGTTAAGATAGTGGTAAAAACAGCAAAGAAGTAGGAACCGACAAATCAGAGTTGTCTGTCGTCATTTGTGACAATTGAAAATCGTTAGGTTGGCGTGGTTTGACTAGAGAGACGGGAGATGCCGACCAATCTTTTGAGTCCTTCGATTAGACTCCAACGATTCAACCAATTTTGGATCTATTTCTTCCCCTCCCTGCTCAAGCATTCCAACTAAAGCACGCACTTCTTCTTTAGACTGCGCTTAACCAAAAGAAATGATGTTTTCCCGTCTCTCTGTTAACGCATCCTCGTATCCGCTTTTCGAGCCGTCTAAACCGCGTAACTGTCTGTAAGTCAGCTTGTGGAATGCGGATAATAGCACCTGCGACTTAGAAAACTAGTAATCGCAACACCCTCGAATTAATTATACTTGAAAATGACGTGGGTTATATTTACTGTAATACGCTACTCGACAGGTCATATTTTTGCCTTGGTGTAATTAACTTTATATACGGCTAGTCATTGTTAAGGAGCGTAGTGTCTCGCGTTGTATGTTAAATGACATCGCGAACGGTGATAATAAACAAGCGATCTTTAGCTAGCTTATCTAGTTAACTTGACAAGACTGGTCTTTCTCAGCACTTGGCTTCGACCTTTTCAAGATGTTCATGTACTTACATCCTCCTTTCCGGTAAATGCACGTTCTCCGGTACGTTAAATGATGGGATTTCAATGATAGCTGTCCTGAGCACAGCCTAAAAATCCCTTTCTGCATATCATATTCTCTATGTAATATATACTTTGCGGTAAGCACTTGAATGTTGACAGTATTGTGAACAATTGTACGTCCACTCAGCGGTGACATCGGTACTCAGAATATAAGTGGAGCTTTGATGTGTTCCTCAAAGAACAGGTTTAACCAAATGGATCAGAGATGTCAGCAACACGGCCGTTGTTAAGATAGCGACATAGATCGATAGGAAACCACATATTTTGTTGGCGGTTATGCGCCAGTCTGCATGAGTGCATTTCCAGACAAATTTACCGGCTGTTAACTGGTTGAACGCAGATGGAAATACTCGCATTCCGTGTGCCTCTCTATTTTATAATAAGCGGCTGGTTTTTTGCGTGAGCTCGAAGTTCAGACAAATAACCAGATTACGGGATATCTTTCTTAGTCTTCTGTATTATTGACTTCCTCGTACTGCCCATTCACAACCTGGGGGTATTTTCCAAGCATCTGAAGTCAAAACCAGTTTACGACATATTTAGTCCTCGCTGCGGCCAGCTCTTAGATTTGCGATCACTGTTCTCAGCCGCTGGCCAGCAGGGGTCAGCAGACAGGTCATCTTTTTTTCGTAATTCCAATGCTCTGTCGTAAAAGGTGTCATCAACGGCAAGGTAGAGGGCGGTTCTTGAGCGGTTGTAACAAGAGGATGTGCTGTCCTGTCGGATAATGCATTTATAATTTAATTTACAGCATCGTGCTCCAGAAGATACTTTGCCATCTAGCTTTTACCAAAAATTTTCTTTAGGGGAAACGATGTGATGTCATAAACTTACTATCGGTATCCGTCTTCGACTGATTAAATGTCGAATTACCTTGTGAATTCACAAATGCCTCATTTTTTCCAGCTCAATTAAGCCGGTTTATGAAAATGAAGTTTACTGTGCAAAGCAACGGTTGGATATGTCCCACTTTCGAACTATTTCCAACTCCGCTCACGAAGCTTTGGACCAGTGGAGTAGAGCCGTATCCAGCCTCGTCAAAAATGAAGGGGTGATAATAATGAAGGAAGAAGTAGCCGATCTCTACGGGTTATCTACTGACCATTTAGCCCTTCCGGCTCCCGGAAAGGCATCAACGTGAGCTATCAAAAGAACAGAGAATGATAATTTTTGTTTTCACTGCTAAGATTCTCTGCTCTACTTAATGTCTTCTGAGTCATCTTTATAGTTTTTTAAGCTTTTTCTAGAAATATTAGTTTCTATTCAAAATTTTACCGTTGAGGCTAAATTCCAGATACAGGATTGTTCTCTAAGCATATGTGTGACCCTGCACCTAGAACACCCTAATTACACCTGGTTGCATCCCTCTTCAAGTTGGCAGGAGTCGGACGCTGCGAATGAGTTAAACTACGTGGACCATAGAGATACAACACTCAGAAGACGTCATCTCCTTCAGAATGAAGCCAGGTCTCCTGCCAGAGTGGGGGCCTGTGGGACGGTATTGAAACACGCCACCTCAGTCCTTGAAACCGACTTGGCTTACCAGCTACAGTGCTCACTACCAAAGAAGTTTGACGAGCTGAAGGCAATAACGGAATCCAACCTCCAGCTTGATACGCAACTGATCAATGCGGAAGCCGAGTTAAAATCGCTGAGAGATGAAAATGCTTTATATTCAGCTGAACTACTGCGGGTAGAATATGAGATTGGCGCGGTTCTTGGAACAACGGAGCGCATTACAGCCATGGCTTCCGAATTTTAACCATAACAGACGCCTGAAAATGCGGGCAAATGTGATTTTAGCTTTTGCCGTATGGGTCATGGCTAGACGTCTTCATGGAGGGAGTCTGTTTTGTTTCGACTCAAAGTAATACAGCAACAAATGACAATTGCTTGTGTGTGTGTATGCTTATGATTAAAAAGCACGCCGATTAATCGCACTTCTTATTGTTGTCATCCGACGCTTTGGTATATTTTTCTGGTAAATACAAGACTGTGAACTTCAGTAGAGAAAGTTCGCCAACAAATTCACGGGACACGTTTGCTTCGTTGTGACCTTGTGCTCAAGCTAGGGTCCCCGTAGGTGGCCGCACAGCGTTTAGTGTTATAGGCGGAATGACATTACGGACAAAGACAAGGGAGACTATAACGACTATTTCTGAATTATTAGCCTACATAATCCAACCATGCCCAACCCCAGGGTTTGCAAATACTGAGGCACGAACCCGTGTTCTGTTGAGTAGAAGTCCAACACTCTCAACACCGAACCACATGCTCCTTTTGCTGTCGATTCTGGCGGGGTAATTAGTCATGGTAGCGGGGCGCCCACCGATCGTGTTAAGGGACATACTCGTCGCGTCTTGCTTTGTGATCGAGCTAGATGCTCCTATGTACATTAAATGCAAATACTATGAAGGGGAAAGAGCATTTGGCTGTTAGCCTCTGAACATACTAGGACCGCACCTGAAAGTAAGCAATTTCGACTGTAGAGTCGACCACACTTCTTAAACGTAAATGCGGGATGCTCGCTCCGCAGTGTTGGGCATACGGAGACCCATGTAACGCTGTTCATTGAAATTTCACATTTAACTAACTTTGTCCAGTATAGTCGGTTATAAAAATGACGAGGCAATTCAAGATTTATTTCGCCTGCCTCAGTGGAATAAACCGATTGAAAAGCTGAATCCATTTTCAGTTAATTAGAAATAATAGAAGAAATTGTCATCACTGGATTATCACCAGTCAGGTAGAATTCGCAATTTCCTGTTAAAAACGGAACCAGTGACATTAGTGATGGCGGTTAATTTTGGACGCCGTTGCCCAATTATACTAGTGTGATGGAGGAGAGTGGAAATATTAGAATGTGCACTTATCATCTCCATTTTTGACTCTGATAGCAGAAGTAGAAGACGAGTAATTAACAACCATGGCGGTTCATGTCCTATAAATCTGGTTACCACTTCTGATATTAAACGCCTAATGAATTTAATTGTGTCAGAACATGCTAGATATGAATGTCAAGATGAGCCGAGACGCCGGGGGAAGATTTGACAAGGTTATCCCAAAAAGTGGTTAAAAATATTTTCGGAAATTGACGCAGGCAGCATCTGTTTTTGCGATAGCTAAGCACAGTCTCTGCATAATCGTGTTGGTAGTATTTTCATTTTCTAGTTGAACCGAGTTATTTCAAAATAAGAATATCTGCTTTTGCAGAGAAAATATTTTATGTTGATGTATGAAGTTCTTAAAGAAATACAATCATATGTTCTTGGCAGATTTTTCGCAGCATGGTGAAATGGGCGAAGAGCAACGTCCCTCCCCAACTGACCCCATCCGGTTAGTTTCAATTGAAAATATTTTGCCCAAACAGCTTCCAGATATGATTAAGCTCATGGCTCCTCGTGGGATGGTTAGAACGCTGGCAGTACACGAGGCTCGCTCTTGCTGTCGTGGGGTTGAATCGCGCTGAGGCCTCTGAGCTTTCCAAAAAATGGTCAAGTAGATTGTTCAAGTCTGTCAAAAATATAGAATACTCTTTAATTCGTCTGGAAAGTCACCTCCCCCCCTTAGGTACTGTGTGCTTGTCTTGGCGAAAAGCCGATGAATTTGTGAAAGATAGTTTGCGACTCTTAACATCTTTTTTTGCACAAATAGACCATGCTAAAACTTCTTAGTGAGTTTGATATCTTACGGGATGAGAAATCTGTCGGCATGATGTCTTCATGGTGATACCCTCCGGCATGGGCATACAACTTGGCCGATTTTGTGTGCAGCAAGTGTCTTCTTTATATTTTTTGTCAATGAGATGCGCACATTGCGCGGCTTTTAAATTTTTTGAATATCATTAGCAAAATATTGGCTTTCAAGTTGTAAAAGCCAGACTTCGAAGCGTGACCCAATGCTGTTCTAAGGAAATTTCAAAATTTCATTGAACAACATAGTATCTTGTTAGCTCGACAAAGGCAACAACTATTTCACGAACTTATTGTTGAGTCATTTCAGTACGTTTTGTACCAGACGACTGTTTTCCACCCAGAGTAGACGACGCCGACGACTGGAATCCTTGAACTTGTTAGAACTCGAAGTTCATAAATCGAAAATATATTTGACGGGATAAATATCTGAAAGCAATGAGCAGATAAAGTATACACAATTGTACGGAGCAGCATTCTCCTAGACAATGTGCAGTCATAAGCCTCCTGTTATCGCTTGCGTATTTTTTCATAGTGTAATCCCACACTATTTGACACTAGCACTTTGACTAACGTCGTCCATTCCCTCAATTTTTCCGTATCGTATCCATTGTATGGACAAGCTCCGCGTCTTCTGTGGTCGTTGGGACAGACAACTCACTGCTGTTTCGCGATTCGACAACACTTTGCAGGGGTGTGCAGCTGTAAAACATCTGCATCTGAGCATTAGAAACAGCTCCCGAATCGTCATGAACACACACATCCCACATTGAACAGCCGATCTCTGTAGATAATTTAATTCTTGAGATTTCGGATAGGTTCTTACATGGGGCCACCAAGACGTTCCAGGATGCAGTTGGTTGTATCCCTCCTAAAAACACAAATCATGATGGGGAATGGTCAGAGCGGAAACTTCCGCCCCTTGGCGCCCAATTCCGATGAGCAGACTATGACCTGGCAACGAACATATACAGGAATGAAAAAGGCATAACACAGAACTCAAACTTTAGAGTAACCGACCTCCAGCACACGAAGTGGACTGCACGAGGACTTCTCAAGACTAGGTACGACAACCCGCGTGCGACGATATACGCCACGTACCGCACGTCATGGTGGGTGTAGAACGGTGACTTAAGCGTGAATTAGTCTATAGTCATAGTAGACTTGGGTCTCATCTATCTCACCCTCTCTGCTTCACCTACCTGGGACCGGTGACAAAACAGAGTAAGGACGGCCAGAGGCGAGGTCAGGCGCAGTGGCCGACGAGGGCTAAACAGCCGCTTGATGCGGGCCTCGTGCGACCTGGTTCCAGCAAAACGGATCAGGTTTTCATAGAAGAGAGGCGGATCAGATCTCACCTGAGTGAGAATGCAATGAAGGTTATATTAATGGGAAGCCATTGAGTAATTCGCCCCAAGTACAAACAGTACCGCGGGAACCGCGCTTACCTGTCATTTGATATTCTACCAAGCCACGACTTTAACGCGCCGTGATAGTTTCTTTGTGGCTCACAGAGTTCAGCAGCTCGTCTAAACGTGCTACACATGACCTTGTCTCTGCATAATGGACGATGTTTTACGGAGGTAAAGGTCAACGAGACCAAATAACTGTGTGATGAATTCAAGGAAACTGGTTATCTCAGCGACTTATCATCAGATGCATGCGAAGAAGGACGAAAATAATGGTTTATGGCGAAAATGAAGGGTGGTCCCGGATGTGGCATACACTGGGGCACGCGATGTCTGAGGGCTGTTACAAATACAGTCAACGTATCCCTCCTTATGCGAAAAGTTCAAATGTCCTTTCGGATTTTCTAGTGTCTTTTACATTTTTTGGCCAACCTGGCGTCGAAAACTGTCCACTAACCAGGTGTAAATAGCCTGCTTACACGCGTAAGACCCTGAAAAGGTTCACCGCCAGGAACGTCCGCTCGGGAGATAATTGCGTCATCTGTTACTAGAGCAAGGTCTCAGGAGACCTAATTCCCCTGTCATTTATCACATGAATTTTCGCCTCCCTACACACTAATATATGTTTTAAATTCTGCGATAATTGACGAAAGGAAATTAACTGCTAGGAAAGTGCCTTTTGTTCTGCGGCCAAGGAACGCCCGACGTAGAGCGTCAGAGGGTCTAATTATGGCTCCACGAGACTGCTCCACAAGAACCAACCTAACTCAACCGAAGATTCCTCCCTCCATCACAGATGTGAAACCTTTTCTCAGAAACAGAGGCTACATAGAATGTGTTCTGCGCTGCAGTCCTTCCCCACGCGTTGTGATTTGCAAATAAAAACAAGTTTTATGCCTGCTATTCAGTTATATGACATTCCATTCTCTGACGGCCAGCAGACGGCAAAAAGTAATTCCCTTCGGCTATTCCGCTGGTTCGGATTCTTTCTAGCTTGGCGGTTATTTTTCGCGTCTGTATTTAACCGTTGCGTTTTAGCATGCCACTTCTCACAAATTTACTGTTCTGCCAGGCCATCCCCATGCCTCTTTTTCGTCGCCTCAGTTTTCAGTCTACGGGTTTCCGATTAACAGGATGTGGTGCAGGATTCGAATAGAAACCGAATAAATTCCCTTTGAAGACGCATCTAGCTATTCGTGCAAGTAAACAAACCGTTTTTCGCATTATTTTCGAATTACCCTACTCGGCTTACCTACTCTTGCAGAGGCGCATTCCATTGCCCACGAATATACAAACT